AGGGTCGGAAAAAATCCGACCATTGTCGTAGAAATTTAGCGAGGCATTAGGGTCGGATATTTGTGGGTCGGGAAAAACCGACCCAACCAGGGTCGTGGATGTATACTAGCATAGGGTCGGATTTTTCCTACCACCGGACTAACAGTGTTTTTTGCAGGGGGCGATACACTGCGATAAAAATATAAGTGCAGCACTGAAGGTGCTTTGTCAAAAAAAGTTTACAGGTGCAACTCTGAGACCATCAGGTACGGCTGCGCAGGAAATGAGCTTGGAGGTGGCTCTACGTACGTGTACTCAGTACCACCAGCTCATTATAAGGTAAGTTTAAAGATATTCAGAAAAGGAACTTTGCATTATAGAATGTGCGTTGGTGCCTGGCGTGGGGCACTCCCAACACGGACGCGTTATTCATTAAATTGAGAAATGTATTCCTACTTCTCCAAGTCAACTTCAAATTAATGTTGCAAAATTAACAATTTTGATGTGATTTCACAATTGCTCCGTATCCTGCAAGTGTTTGTCAAATACTGAACTTAGAAATTAAAAAAATTCTGCAGTTGACTCATAGACGTTAGAACGCATCAAGATTTATTTTTATTTTATTTGCGAATGGTGGTTGTGTTTAAAGCTTATAAGAGGCCGCGCACGTCGTGTTGCGGACTGCGCGCTGGATCCGCGCCTGCAAAAATTTGATTTCTTTTAAATCCAAAACAACAGGCCGTAAAACAGACGTTATTTGACAACATTTTTTCCTGGGTTCCTAAGGGGTAACTCCACTGGAAAAACTAACGTTACCAAGGTAACGTTCTGGTGCAAATCGGTCAAGTAGTTTTCAAGTTATTATTTCAACTATTAAGGTTAAGATTGTCCAAAACTCCACAAATGTCTCTAAACATTTGCAAATATTATTACGAAGTACTCACCTCATTCGTAGTTGTGGTTTTCCTGGACAGATGACGAGTGTAATCCTTTCTGCAGGAAGCGTGCACAAATATCGGCTCTCCAGCCGCCAGCCGTGTCTCCACCAACTCAAATAAACCGTCTCCATTACGATTTCCAACAGTTTTCAGAGATTCATATCTTCTGACCACATGCACCGTAGGCTCGTCCACAACACTGCACTTGGGGATGACACACTGATCCATAATATTGAATCATATCACACTTGTAACACAAACAGCGCAAACACACGCAGAGCGACCGAACGACAGGTTCCTCACGGCAAGGGTAGTCCCCACAGCCCTGGGTAAAAAAACCATGGGGCTGTCCATGAGCCATGGACATAAATTTAACCATGGATTTTTCTGACCATAGATTTATGGAACCAGTAAACCATGAAAACAAAAGTTGACCATGAGTATATAGTGGATGGATTGCATGGCCATGGCCAATGTGCTCCATGGCAAGGGATGACCATGAGAATTGGCTTTCATGGTCACAATTAAGTCCATGAATGTGTCCATGGTTACTATTACCATTGTCATGTAGAACGTCCATGAACACACGTTTAGACATGATACTGTTATCAATGGACACAAAGACCATGATAGAACGAATCAATGGCCAACTGTATTAGTAATGGACATGGGATGTTTTCCTCATGGTCTGTGT